GTGCGGGAGATATGGGGAGATATGGGGAGAGATGGGGAGAGATGGGGCGATGTGGAACCTCGAGCGAGCCGTGCGGGAGATATGGGGAGAGATGGGGAGAGATGGGGAGAGATGGGGCGATGTGGAACCTCGAGCGAGCCGTGCGGGAGATATGGGGAGATATGGGGAGATATGGGGAGAGATGGGGCGATGTGGAACCTCGAGCGAGCCGTGCGGGAGATATGGGGAGAGATGGGGAGAGATGGGGAGAGATGGGGCGATGTGGAACCTCGAGCGAGCCGTGCGGGAGATATGGGGAGATATGGGGAGAGATGGGGAGAGATGGGGCGTTGTGGAACCTCGAGCGAGCCGTGCGGGAGATATGGGGAGATATGGGGAGAGATGGGGAGAGATGGGGCGATGTGGAACCTCGAGCGAGCCGTGCGGGAGATATGGGGAGAGATGGGGAGAGATGGGGAGAGATGGGGCGATGTGGAACCTCGAGCGAGCCGTGCGGGAGATATGGGGAGATATGGGGAGAGATGGGGCGATGTGGAACCTCGAGCGAGCCGTGCGGGAGATATGGGGAGATATGGGGAGAGATGGGGAGAGATGGGGCGATGTGGAACCTCGAGCGAGCCGTGCGGGAGATATGGGGAGATATGGGGAGAGATGGGGAGAGATGGGGCGATGTGGAACCTCGAGCGAGCCGTGCGGGAGATATGGGGAGATATGGGGAGAGATGGGGAGAGATGGGGCGATGTGGAACCTCGAGCGAGCCGTGCGGGAGATATGGGGAGATATGGGGAGAGATGGGGAGAGATGGGGCGATGTGGAACCTCGAGCGAGCCGTGCGGGAGATATGGGGAGATATGGGGAGAGATGGGGAGAGATGGGGCGATGTGGAACCTCGAGCGAGCCGTGCGGGAGATATGGGGAGATATGGGGAGAGATGGGGAGAGATGGGGCGATGTGGAACCTCGAGCGAGCCGTGCGGGAGATATGGGGAGATATGGGGAGAGATGGGGAGAGATGGGGCGATGTGGAACCTCGAGCGAGCCGTGCGGGAGATATGGGGAGATATGGGGAGAGATGGGGAGAGATGGGGCGATGTGGAACCTCGAGCGAGCCGTGCGGGAGATATGGGGAGATATGGGGAGATATG